ACACTTGAACTGCATTTCCAGATTTTATGCAATAAACGAAAATATACAGAACAAAAATGTATCCCTGAGTTATTTTAAAGGATGGACGCATCGAACACAGCGCGCTTTGTTCAGTTGATTATCCTGGTTCAGCTGTCTCTGAAGAGCAGAGTTCAAACCTGATGTGCTGTATCTGGATTAACCAGAACTCCATCTGCGGTGAAGCAGTGATGAGAACCGAGCGCTCTGACCAACAATAGATGTGCAGCTCTGTCGAGTGATTTCCTGTCTGGGGTTACCGTTTGATTGACGTCGAGAAAACCTCCAAGCTGTCTGGGTCAGCTGAAAACCGGACGACTGACAGGCGTGAATCCATCTAATTTCCATATGTAATTTTCTCACAGTTGAAGGTAATGTTTTGTCCAAAAAACAAGACTATGTGTTACTTCAGTGTTGAGGCTGTATCAGCACTGAGCTATCAGTGTCGGTGCATTTAAATGAGGAATAACAGCATCAAGATGTCTCTTTACTCCAGGGCTGCCCATGGGTACAAGGTGACACAACGCAGTGACGTGGGTGGTATTTTCTCTCTGTGTGCAACTGGGACTCTGTGAATATAACATATATGTTCAAAATGGGGTCCGGGGACCAACAGGGGCCTTTGAGTGGGTTGTATGGGGTCCACAGAAAAAGGAGAAATAGGCTTTGCTCAACAACTCAGTGATGATGTTGTGATTGTGGGAGGAGTTTTCTCTCTGAACCACAGGAGGTCACCAGGAGTAAAGGTGCTCGTCTCCAGACATAAGACCCTGAGAAACAGCCAGAACAAACCAAGACTATACTTTCAGGGATCATTTCTTTAGTTTTTGACTTGAGAAATGTGTTTCTAAAGAGTTTGGTCTCGCTGTCCACGATGAAGAGTTCAGATGTTTCTTTCAGAGCATGAAACTGGTGTGAAGACTTTATTTCTTCTCCACTGTTGAAGATTGTTCAGAGTTTCTGAATGAGACTCTGATGGAGGAAACATGATCTGAGTGGATGTATTTTATTCTGCTTAAAGATTAAAATCTGTTTGGATTTTTGTCAAATTTTATGGGAATCGGAACAACAACTAAAATAAATAGGGTTGTTTATGAAACAGGCTGAATTTAAGTTTATTTGTAAACAAATGACCATCAGCGAATACAGTTATTCTCAGTGCTGTAATGTCTAAAGAAGGTAGAAACATCTTTTGTCCACAGGTGCCACCAGAATCAACACAAATGTCTTGTACTTTAGTTTTGGGGATAATCATAACTTAAAGTTTTAGAACTAAACAGGAAGTACACAGACACTCTATGTGACCACCGACAGATGGCACCTGCTGGACAAGTAGAAACAGTGATTTTTAAGGTGGAACTGCTTTATTCAGTGTTTTTAGTGGTTTTAATCAGCGGGTCTGTTTGTTCTGGAGAGGAGGAGACCTCTGTGGATAATTGGGCTCCCGGTAGAAACCTCCCGAACCATGAACACTGAAGGAATCCTAACCGGGAGAAGCTGACCGCAATGACGGAAATGGTGATGAAGGCAACAACTCCCATGATCCCGTACTACTTTTGCGACATCATCAAACTTTATCTTTTGTTATTGTTTTGATGTGAGAGACCCCCCTCGTGGCAGACATTACATATTTGTAATTTTGAAGTGAGACGATCTTTAGTTTCACTAATGTGATGTATTTCTGAATGAAACAGAATATTTGGACCTCTTACTATGATACGGTTTCAAAAAAAAAGAACTGGATTTCAACTCCCTCGCTTCACCCTCACCTTCCAAGCTCAGAGGAAGAACTACAACAAGAAAGGTCCTATCTAGAGCCAGTATTTGGTTTGTCCCATGTGGGCTACTGTTGAAATATGGCTGTTCAACATGGCCAACTCTGTAGAAGAGGACCCGCTCCATCTGTAGATAAAACTCATTCTAAGGTAACAAAAACACTACGATTCCTATATTCAGGTGACTAATGAAAACATACCTATGAATATTATATTCCATTTGTTCCAATAGATCCTCTTAAATGTTATACACTGGACCTTTAAAATATCATTTTTTTGTTTTGGCATGTATTTAGTTTTTTAGGGATAAATGAACAATGATAATAATAAGGACACAGAATTAGTATTTACATGCATTTTCTTTTTTGTCTTTGTTTTAGTTCTCTGTTTTGTGTTGTGCAAAAGTGCATTGAAAGTGAGGACATTTAAACCTTTATGTTGTCACATTTGGCTACAATCATCTGTCATTTCCAAGCTGGCTGCGTGGAAACAAAATGCACAATTGAAATTTAAATTAATTAATGAATATTAATTAAAAGAATACAAGCTGAGTAGATTTTAACCCTGTTGTCAGAATGAAAATGAACCAGAGTTAATATCTGAGTGAGGTTGGGGATGACACGCTGGTAATTTGCTTCCTTTGTGCCACACAATACAACAACACAACAGACATTATTAAATAATCTCAATTACATTTCCTCAGTTTGACGATAAGGGGTTTAAAGCACTGCAGTATAATTGAACATTCAACATGGTCTAAGCTCTGGGACATCTGGGCTCTCTCTCACACACACACACACCATTCACACCACAGCTTTTCTTTCATTATGCAACACTAATCTGAAGGCTGTGCTCAAAGAAGCTATTGTGTGGCGGAGCTACTGCTGAGTGAAACAGCACGGTGGAAATCCCTGGACTGCTGGCAAAACCAGTCAAACTGTACCATCATCAGAAAGAAGGAAGTAGACAGAGAATAGAAACCGAAAGAACACTATAAATATGGGTTAAAGATGAATGGATTCACACACCCATCTACTGTGTGTCTTTGTGGCTGGGAAGATTGAAACTGTAGTCTGTTGTTATCATTAAATCTTGCTTCAGGGGCGCCCTGGTAGTTGTGTGCAAAGGCTATGTTTCCCATGAGTTCAAGTCAACTGATAGTATATATATATATATATATGGACAGAGCCTCTGGGTGTGGGAAGTGAAGTGTCTTAAACCTGCATTCTGTGTAATGGCCAGCAAGGGGGGGCAGCTCCATTGGCTACAATAAAACACCTATACCCTGCAGTCTTATGGAGGAATAATTCGCACTTGATTTATTCGCTCAGTAAACAGATTCCTGATGGTTTTATGGTCTTAATCTCTAGTTTCAAGAATTCTTCCATACAGCATGATGTTTATTTAGTGAAAGATTTAGTTTAAATGCTCAGACAAACTGTCATAGCGACGACCATAAGGCCAAACTGGAGGCAAAACGGTACTTTACATGTTATATCACAGCATTTCAAACTAGTACTGCAAGTGAAAAAACAAAAATTTTAAATATGTTATCTTTTAGGTTTCATCTACAGTTTTCTTTAAAGACCGAAGAAGTTTGAGTTTAGAGGAAGGAATGAAGGAAGAAGAAAAGGCATTATGGATGGATAAAACAGGGTGTGATAAGTTGTGTTAAGCTGTTTCTGACACTATAGATAGCAGTTCAGTAACAGTTTCATTTCTGTGTATCTGTAATCCTCTCACACAATGACAGACAAACAGACACACACACACACACACACACACACACACACACACACACACACAAGATGGAGCAGTTGGTCACGATTCCACTCATCTGGACCGGAGATGTTCGATGCCGATCGTCTCTCAGAGTTTCCTCGGCTGTGGCGGTGCAGCAGACGTCTGACCTGGTTTACATAAACAGCAGCTGAATACAAATCTCAGTGTTTCTGTCCACATTCCCCCGAAACTTACACTTTAACTTCATTTCCTGCAATTAAAAAAGGAAAGTGAGGACAGTTCCTCCACCACTGCACAAGAACAAATATGTCACCCTCCAGTGGACATAAACGGAACAACAGTCCCTGCAGTCGTGTTTTAAGTCATTACAGCTTTGGCACACTTTGACCTGACCTGACAAAGTGCAGATGGAAAGCTGGGAGACATTATGAACAACAGAACGGAGGGCTTATTTTAGATTTGTACACAGCTCCACATATAATAGATCAGTGGTGATGCTTTTCTTTTCTGCCATCTGAGTGGGGAAAACGTAGGAGGTGTCACATGTGAACAGTGCTTTGTTTTAAGTGGCTTCTGTGACAAAGTTAATTTAGTTCACTCAGGAGGCCCTGAATGTACCACAAGCTTCATTATATTTAAATATTTTAAACAATTTAATGAAATCTGTTTAATTATTTGTTAGTCTGTTGTTTAACAGTTACATTTTTTTGTTGTTTGATGATTTTGGGTGTTCTGTCGCCTACTTTACAACCTTGTTAACAACACTGATATAAATTACAGTGGTGGAAAGTAACTAAGTACATTTAAGTATTGAAGTTTAGCAATCTAAAATTTTATGGTAATTTTACTTTCCATCTTATGCTGCTTTATACTTCCTCTTTGCTGCGTTTCAGCAGAAAAAAATACTTTTTACTTCAATACATTTATCTGACTGATAAAGTGACTACTTTAACTGTTAAGATTGTGATTTTACATGAAATAAACTTTATAAGTCATGCTCGTAGGCCCCGCTGCTTAAAATCTGATTTTAATTAGCTCAGAGAAACTTTCTACTTTCAGCAGATGAATGTGAAAACGTCCTTCTAGAGTCAAACTCTGCACAGTGAGGATCAAACATCAAGTTTTAATCAAGAAACACTGATTAAATCTAGACTTTAACTTTATAGATCTGCTCCTCAATGAATCCAGCCATTAATTTATGGCTCACAACTTTGAAACAGGAGTTTACGGACGGCACTTAAATGCAGCACGGTTGCATGCTTTAACGCCACATTCCAGGTCAGAAAAATAACCTGTAAACTGATCCGGTTTTTACAGAAAAAAGTACAACAGTTGTAGTGAAAACAGCCTGTAAAGACCAGTTGAGACTTTCTCTTTGGCCGACACTCCCTCTTCGGTTTATTGGCTAATCTGTTTAATCATTAACCTCCTCTTCACCTGACATCCTCACTGTTTTGAGTTAATCACAGCCGAGCCAGGAAGTGGATCTTTGTCATGTCCTTGTGCAAGGTTGAAGCTGGCTGCTTTTTCACAATAAATTCACCGCTTGCTATTTAACTCTAAGTTTCACCTTCCTGTCACAGGCACTGGCTACATTTTATTGGAAGTCTTTACTGTACAAACCGGTTTTAAAGGTATATATGAAAGTGAAAGCAGTTAGAGTGGAGGTAATGAAATAAAAGAAGCAGAGCTGGAAAGAGTACCTATATTCTCTCTGAGCTGCACAGGTAAGGAAACACCTTTTCTCGCTCTCTCTCAACATAAGGTATGAGCCTGTAGCTCTTTACTTCTCTCAGTTTGTAGGCAAATAATTATCTTTGCAATCAAACAGGAGTTTTTTTTGTTGTTGTAGAGAATAGTTCTGGTTGCTTAGTGACAGTCTGTATGTATACAACAGCTTATTTTTATTGTCAAACATTGTTATCAGCACATTGGGGACTTTTTGATCTGTTGACCTGTTGAACTGTTTTTAAAAAACTTGATTGGACAGGCCTGTATGATATAGCCTAAAACCTATTATATTATTAACATAATAAAATAGAGTTGTGGTACTCTCTATTTGGGATTATTATACATGTAGTGCCTGCTGAGATATACACTATTGTTGTTGTTGTTGTTGTTGTTGTTGTTAGTGATTTACTATTAAAAAGAAACTTAAGATATGTAGAAAGTATAATTATTGAAATTATTATTATTATGTCTTAAAGTACCTACCACTGGAGACATAAATCAACATTAAAATGCTCTTAAAAATGACTTACTTGTTTACTTTTTTGATATTTAACCTTTTCTTAAAGGGTCAAATATGAATGACTTTTATTGCCTCAAAATTAATAAATACAGTGTAATTAAACTGTGAAGGATATTGACAGTAAAGAGCATTTCAGGTGAGGTGCATGTTTACTTTCGGTTTTATCTGAGCCAACCTTCGCTTGTTTACTTTCATTGAATATAGACCATGCACACACACACACACACACACACACACACACACACACACACACACACACACACACACACCTACACAGAAGCCTGCTTTGACTGAAACATTCAAAACAAGACAAATCTGATTCACAAATAAAACTGAAAGTATCCATGTGGCAAGATAAAAGTAGGAGGGAGTGAAGAGTATTGACTGAAATCCTGTAAGTAGAGTCAGTTACAAGAATTAAACATTTAACATTGAAAATACAGACAAAGGACAAAAAGATATGAATTAAAACTATTTAAATTTAAGTGGTGGTAATGTCCACTGATTGTCTCAGATATCCCAAACTCAGTACAACTATATTACAACTATATTCATATTTTAAACACATTTGAAGAGCTGGAACACATTAATACAGAATATATTTAAATCTGACTGACAGTGTAGAAAAAGATGACTTTTCAAACTATACTTATAAATAAAATGCATATATATAAAAGAGAAAATCTAACAAAATGTATGGAATTTTCCTTATAAATTAAACATATTACTGTAGTATTTCCTCTCATTAAAATGAGTGACTATGGCACTGATTAGTTATGAGTGAACTACAGGTCAGCTCCTAGTCTTTGTTTCTGGTTTGTTTTAATTATTTGCAGGTTCAAATTATACAAATTACACAGAAATAACATTTAAAATTAACAGCCAAAAGTTAGTGTTATAAAATATATATATAAAATCAGTTTTCTTCATAAAGACCTGATTCCTGGTGGATGCTGTTGTGTTTGCAGTTTTACCACGAAGAGCTGTGCATTACTGATTTCATTGACTTCAATTTTTGTTTCTTTTTGGGGGAATCTTAACTGAAAATTGTAAAAATAACTAATGTTGTTAGTAGGAGTATTAAGTCTGAAGACAGGGCAGACTGTACAATAATAAGAAATAGTAACTTTATTTAGCCAGCACCTTTCAAAACAGAGTTTCAACATGCTTTACATTAAAAATGAATAATAAAATCATATAAAATAAAATCCAAGATATTAAACAAGATAAAATAATTACAAATATCATCAGTTCAAAAACGCAGTAAGAAAAAAGTTTTTAGAAGCAATTTAAAAGAGGAAACTGAGTTTGCCTGCTTGAGATCCCCAGGCAGTGAGTAGCTGAGGGGCCCAGAAAGCGATATCCCTAAATGACCTTGCGGGAGAAGTCAAGATATTGGAAACATTAGTAGGACCCTGAGGGAGGATCTCAAGCAGCGATTAGGCTCGCAGGGAGTTACCATATGTGCCGAAGCCGGAACAGTTAAGCAATAAACCCTTAATATCAGTCCTAAATCTGGTTTGCTTTCAGGTTTAGAACTGATTTTAAGAGTGAACGGCAGCAAGGAAAATGAGTCTGCAACTAACTCTGTAACAGCTCTCAGTGCACAGTAAAAAGTAAAAGGGCATTCAGATGAATTTATCAACATTTTTATCAACTCCAAATACAAATGGATAGTCAGAGTACTAATAAGATTTGAGTCAGGAGTTTCAGGAAGAAACTGAACTGTGGAAATTCCCCCCTTTACACGTCATTCTTTCACCATGTTGATAAGAGCTGCACAGAAGGATATGGTTGTTGTCTGTAAACAAGACTGCTCCTCCTGTAGGGCCTGCCTGCTGGCTCACCACGATATCCAAACGCTCACCTTAACATCAGAATCACACACACTCCTCAGTGGAGCCGAGTGCAAGCAGAGATTTCCTCTGTCTGCTTTAACCTTTGATTTTGATGCTGTTTCCTCACAGTTGGATGTTATTCAACAGGACAAGACGTCACAAATGATGGACAAACCGACTGAAAACGCAGATGAGGACACAGTGTCCCTCAAGAGCAACGGGAAGTCGCCGACTAATGGAGCACCACTGGGCATGTTAAAGTCATTCAGACAGAGCTTCCGGCGAGTGGCTGAGAAAAGTCCCCTAAAGTCCGGAGGCAAGGGGTCAAAGGTCATTCCTAAAGCAGACACAGGCGACAATGAGTTGGGGTCACCGCCGCCTCCGTCACCCAGTGAGTATCGTCATAACATCTGTAGTGAAAATGGGATTTATTTGCAGGCAGGTACACTGACATGGTCTCTCAAAGTCAGAAGGTGAGAGCTGGTGTTTGTGTGTCGGCTTATCTGCCCCGAAAAATCCCCACAAGCTGTTTGCTACACATTTTTAAAGTCCAGCACCGGGACCAGGATTATACTTTCAGCATGAGTGGCTGCAGTGGGAACTGAACTTAGAAGTGCTTACTGGAAACATGAGCTAATATAAGATATGTGTCCTTTTTTTTTGTATTGAATTAGTGCAGCACCCCCTAAAATTTTAACTTCTCCTTTTTTACTGGGATTCACACACTAGTATGTATAGCAGGAAAGTTGTTTTAACTTGTTTTCTATCCACTAAAAAGTTCTACTATTTATGTAAAATTATGTAAATAACTATTAAATAGATTATAAATGATCCTGGCCATTCTAATTAATGCAAAATCCATGAACGTCATGCATTCATTGCATTCGGTTCTGGTTTTTAATATTACAATAAAGCCTCATGGGCGCCTTCTTGATTTTAACACACTTCTTAATATTTACTTTGCAACTTACTTGATGAAAGCTTCTAACAAAATAAAGACTGATTGGATGCATGCTTCATAGATTGCAGTACGTGGATTCCTGTCTGTAACCGACTGTGTCTGCTGCTATCTGATCAGACAAGCAATGATGGCGCCATTTTAAACTCAAAATAAGCCGCCTTGTACTTCTTTAACAAACAAACAAAAATGGCTCCTGCTATGTCATTGTATAGACTGACTTTCTCTCAGCACCCCCCAACTCTCACTGACTTCCAGCGTCCTCGTCTGCCTCCTTTAAATTAGTGGTGTGGGTGATATTGTGTGTGTGTGTGTGTGTGTGTGTGTGTGTGTAGGTGGGAAGAGCACTGCGGTGTGGGATTATAGTTCGGAGGGAGCAAGAAAGAGTTTTTGAACTTTATTAAAAAACACAACCTGTTTTGCTGCTGTGGTTGAAGAAATGTGTCTCTGTGTCAACAACACATTTTATTTGGATGCTTGTTGAACTTCAGTGAACAATTTTATTCTTACACTCAACATGTTCTGCAGTCAGACTGTAAACACTGAGGAGATAAAATCTTATTTTCATTTCATCTTCAAACTTTGGTTGTCTTTTCAACATAGAGCACATAGCATATCTTTATCTTTTCTGGCAGTACAACCTCTCATTGCAAGTAATTCTAAAGCAGAGGTTTTCCAGACTCCAGAAGAGGTCTTGCAGTAAAAGCTGATCTTGTGAGAGAGAGTCTTAATTTGCAAGGCAGCAAAAAAAAAGTACTCCACATATTTCATAATCTCTGCAGCAGGGTTACTGTCATTCACTTGAAGTCATTTAGAATAAGTCATGTGGATTCTTTTAAACCATTATGACTGACAGACTGTCAAAAGAGGGCAAACCCTACTGTAACTTTCCCTTTTATATTCTGGATCTGAGCCAACCAACCTGTTTTCATCATGTTTTAATCTTTGCATTCTTTACTTGGTTTCATTGTAGGCTGCTGTAAGGTCAAAACACTGCCAAGTCATGCACACACCCACGTGCACTCACGTAAATGTAAATGTGAACCTTAAGAAACTTAAACCATATCAATTTCTGGCACCAAGATTAATTTCTTTTCTTACTGACGTGACAAAGTTAGCTGTGGTTGTGAAACAAGGAGTTTACTTTGTGCTGCTATCAGCCGTCTCTCTGTGCCTCTCTTTCAGGTCTGAGCTGTGGCTCTCCTGTGACCTCCCCGCTGAAGAACTTCATGGAGAAGAAAGAGGAAGACGAGACCGGTGACGTCACACCACAGCAAAGCAAAGGTCTGACGCGTTCAAAGACAGGTAAAGCAATCATTTCATACTCGAACAATAAGTCTCATTCAAGTATGGACATTTTTACTGTTTTCTAAATTTTTTGATGAACATGACTGGTAAGAATATTGGTTGTTTTTTATATAAAGTATAAAGAACATTAATTGCTGCTACACTCACCTCTTTCCATACAAGAGTTAGAGCATTAAGTGAGGTACAACACTGATTTTGGGTGATCAGGTCTTGCTCACAGTCTGTGTTGCAGTTCATCCCAGAGCTGTTGGATTGGGTTGAGATCAGGTCTCTTACCCATCAGACTGGGAGAACCAGTTCTTTATGGGACTAGTTTTATGCGTGTGGGCATGTTGAAACAGGAAACGGTTTTGCTGCTACAGCCTGTTCTGGTCAGTTGTGTGGTGGCTAATGCTATCCCGTAATTATCACTTCTGGTTGTCATTGTTCTCATGTATTCTGCAGCATCACAATTTCCCTTAAAGGTCCAGTGTGCAGGATTTAGTGGCATCTAGCAGTGAACCTCACCCTCCAAGCGTGTTGAAATTACATCAGGCAGGGAGCCCAGATAGCTCCCCTGGTAGAGCTGTTGCACCGTGTACAAAGGCTGAGTCCTTGCTGCAGCAACCATGGACATCGACTCCGACCTGCAGCCCTTTGCTGTGTCTCCTCCCCTTTCTTAAGCTGTCACTCTCCATTATAAGCAATCAAAGCCCCACCAGAAATATTAAGAATTTACAGTTGGTATGAAACTCAAAGGCCCTATCTATAGCCAGTGTTTGGTTTGTCCATTCTGGGCTACTGTTCAAGGCCTCTATGGAAAAGGATCTGCTAAAAACAGCTCATTCTAAGGTAACAACAACCCAATGACTCCTATATTTAGGTGATTATACACTAATGAAAACATCCATATGAATGTAATATTACATTTCTACCAATTGATCCTCCTAAATGTTTCCCACTGGACCTTTAAGTGGAACAAACCGTAAAAAATAGCCCCAGTTTAAAAGAAATGTGGCCATATAGTGTGTGCAGGTGGTTAACCTCACTGTGGGTCCGCCCTATTTCTGCCCCACAACACCTGTCACCTGCAAAAAATATATAGACAGATGGAGATAATGTGCTGAAATTAGAAATCTTAGTACTGCTACAACAACAGTGTTTTTGTTTGTGTTTCCATTTCCATCCTCAGATCCCAATATGTCCGGGATTGGCGACGCTCTCCTGAGAAGAGGAGCGTCCATTCGTAATAGCTTAAAATTTGGCAAGAAGGACAAGGTTAAAAACCTCACAGGGGCGCTCGTCCCGCTCACTGAAGGCTCAGCGGAGGAGAAGAAGGAGGAAAAAGAGGAGGAGGAGGAGGTGTGGGAGGAGATTAAGGAGGCATACACACTGCCAGAAATACCACACACACCACTGTCAGGTACAGGCTGTCACGTGTTCTTTAACCTTATTTTTTCCAAGGAGGGTTTTGCTGATATGACCTGCTGAAAGGCCAGCCATCACCTTCCCCCTGGCAGAGATAATGGAGGACAGAGCTGTCTTCAGCACCACATTACTGTATATAGTATAACTGTTTTCATTCAGTCTGACTTCCCTTGATATAGAAAGATTAAAAGTCTACAGCCATCCCTAGCAGCTCTATGAGATTTATAGGCACAGTGGTAGGAGTTAAATGCTAATGTTATCATGCTAACTCCCAACAATCTTAGTTTAGTGTGTTAAACACAAAATCCAAAGCCATTAGGATTCATCCTCTGGGGACCATGAATGCAACATTTCATAGGAATCTGTCCATTAGTTGTAGTAGCTGCCAGTACTTCCTTAAAGGACGCTGATTGATCTGGTACCACTGCAGACGGCTGACTGAAGCCTGGCGAGATTCTCACGTGATGTTGAGGTCAAGAGGTGCTTGCTTGGCTTAAAAATGATCAATCTATATCAGAACATAAGATCAGCTGCTTATGTTTGCATTGTTTGTCAGATTGAGTATGAAAGTTTGTGCATGTGTCCTTCAGTTTACATCAAAGTGGGCTTCCAACCTTGTAAGTGTTTTAAAGACGTTCGTGGCTTCGAGCTATTATTAACCTTTTCTCACAATGTTTCCAAACACCGTCCTGTCTCTTTCTCTGTCTGTACATTCACATTTCTTCCTTATCATTCTCTGTTTTGGCAACAAATAAAGGCAAAGATAGGAATTCTGTTTCTTTGCGAAATACACAGTCAATCCGGAGGAGTCATGGCTTTAACTGTTACGTTGGCAGCCGATTTAAAATTTGATTTCCTCCCTGAAAATCCGGCTGTTCTATCACTCTTATGAAGATTTATGAAGAATGTGTTAGTTGAGAGTTTTTTTTTCTGAACTAAGGAAGGGTGTTCGTTCTCCCTCGCCTCTCTCTTCTCTTTACTGGAACAGTTAAGCTCTGCAACTGTATTGTATGAGGGAGGACAAGTGAATGAAGTTAAGTTATGAAGTCTACAGAAGTCATCAGCCACCACTGGTGGAGACAATGAAGCTGGTGATAGGAAGGTGAAGGGAAATGATGTGTGCATGAGAAGAGTGAATGCAGGATGGAAAGAGAAATTACAAACAGGCCCTCAGACAAATTGACTTCTTGACTGAACTTGTGCTGGAGCTTCATTTCACCATCTTCTCTATTTTTTCCTCAGTGATGCAGATCAACAAGCTGATAGAGATGGAGGTCCTGGAGGAGGCTCACCTCAACCTCCTCGCCATGCGGCAGGAGTTCAAGCAGGAGCAGGAACGGTGCGGCGAGGACTCGTCCATGGAGCTGGCCAAGAAGGAAAAAGACCTCAACCTCCTCTATGGAGAGCTGAGGAACAAAATCAACACCATAGTGCGTGACTCCAACTCCCTCACCTCCAGGAACAAGGGGCTGCTGGTTCACGTGGCACGCATCATCCAAGAGGAGATGAAGAGAGCTGAGGAACCCGGCGGGCTTCCAGGCAGCTGGATGGAGTCCTGGACAGAGGCGGTGGGCGAGGGAGTGCAGGTGAAGGTGGGGAACGTTCACCTGGAGCCGAAGGAGCAGAACCAATCCTGGTTGGCAGTTCATCTGGGTCTGCTGGGTAAGGCCATCGTGGAGGACTTGGAGACAGTGAAGAAGGAGCTGCGGTGGTCGTACCCTCCCAGCTTTAAGGTCTTCAGCACCTACGTGAGGAGTTACCACAGAGTCGTCGGGCAGCACCTGAAAAAGCTGGAGCGGGAAGTGACGGAGCTGAAGGATCTGTACGCTCTGCTGGACTGGATCATCAACCGCTACAAGAGGTCAGTGAACGAAGGCAGGAATCAAATCAGCACCATGAATGTGGATTAGATTGTGTTGTTATCCACGTATGATCCTATAAACTACTAAAAAACACATCAGTGAGTCACATTGTAGTTTATTTAGACTCAATCACACATTACTCACTACAGCACCAAATGTGGATTAATCCGCCGCTGAAAATAGTCCCCAACAAATCCTCTCCTTCTTCTTTTTTGAGTAACATTAGCTAAAAACTACAGTAAACAGCTGGTGTAGGATATTATTGACCCTTTTTAAAAAAGTAGTCACAATAAATTGTGTATTCATCTAGTTCGGTTGCAGCTTTATGCTCCTGATCTGTATATTTATCTTTTTTGGTGTCACAAAAACTTCAGCAAGAAATAAAAAATGATGAGCATTATTATTATTATTATTAGTCTGCAAATTGACTCCATGTTATGAATAATGACTACATGGAAGAAGAGGAGTCTACAGTAATGATTTAGGGCTAATGGACCTACAAAGGATACAAGCACAGCAGTTTTAATAGCTTTGACCTATTAATCAGGGGAAATGCCCACGCTGACATGCATACATGTTACAAATGATTAAATGATAAATATATACAGGGCTTATGTAGATCAATTATAACACGGCTCGTTGGACAGATTTCACCATCAGGATTTATTAGTAGTTAAGCTTTTGAAACCATCCAGTCACATATCTGCTGTAAAACCCTGTGGTTGGTTCGTTTGCTTTCTTACCACAAACGATCCCCTCCAGACCTTCCTTTTTAGGTGATATTGTCCCGCTTATTTACCCAAGCAAGTAAACACTTTCAGTTTTAAAACAACTGCTCCAGAGGAGACGTGTTTGGATACACCATAAAGAGTTGTGACCTGTTTTTAGAGATTTGAGTATTAAGAAAAGGTCATGAAACACATTAGCAAAGAAAGAACATGCAGTAAAAGTCCTTAAGCCACACTCGAGACATATTTTAGATTAGATTGTCTACCTGAAGCAATGTTTAAACCTAAACTTGGAGGAAAAACCCCAAACACATCGAAAAACACATCTCGACTGCCCACATACAGTAAAGACGAGTTTACAGATGGTGCAGAGTGTTTAAAAGGTAGCTAACACCGCCACAGCACCAGAGAGAGTATGAGTGGGGAAGCAGTTGAAAAAGAGGACATTATTTGTTGAATCAGGCCACACCAAACCAAAAAACTGTGCTTGAAACAACATTTGGGAGACCAAAAATAAACGACTGATCTGATGAAAAAAAAAAAAAAAAAAAAAGAGGCACAACACTCTCGAGGCCAAAATGGAAAATTTAAAATCAGGTCGTGTCCACATTTCTCATAGATTATGTAAAGTAGCATCCGAGAAAAGACTTCTTTACACAGTATATCACACATAAACTGTAGCAGCACTCGTTTTCATACAAACAACAATATGCACTGAGACTTGCATGTTGGGGGTCGGATTTTTATCAAACTTATGGAGCTTTATTTAAAGATCCTGTTTCCCAGATTACCCTCATACAGCATCCCAACGTTCTGATGGACTCTGGAGATCTGCAGACATGAAGCAACATGTCTCATTCCTTCGTGCCGTACAGTGAAATGTTGTTAAATGTATCCTGTTTGCCCCCGACAGCGAGAAGATCATGGGAAGTCTCTCCCTGCAGCCCGACATGAAGGATGAGAGCACTGATCTGCAGCTGGAGGCCGACTTCCTGAAGCAGCTGAAAGACAAGTACTGCTGGAGAGTGAAGGTGAGGAGCTCACAGCGCCGAAGCTCCAATTGAGGACTGATTGTCTAGAATTTGTCTGGGAATTTTAGCAACTTTGGACAGAGATTATAAAGCTTTTTTTAGTTTTTATATGCAGCAGGATTCATCGTTTTTCCTCAAGAGTTAAAGCAACCAGGCCCTTTAGTTCTTCTTGTTGGGAAATAAAACTTTTATTTTGTATACAAGATAACAAAAAATACTCTGTTTACAACATTTTCACACCTGTTTATGAAACTTTCTGACTTTATAGAACCATAACTATCTAGTAATTGTTTTCTACAAAAACAAAAGGAAATTAAAGGGCTGTGGTCATAAAAAAAAACAAACAAGGATTTATCCAAAGAAGAATTTAAAAACCAAACCTGAAAACAAGTTTATGAACTTTTTGGTAATTTGTCTTATGTTAAGTTATCACATTTCCGAAAAATCAACATCCAGGATTCAATCTTTTTGCAGATTTTTCAGTCACAAAACCAAAACACAACTATAAAATAAAGATAGAAATATAATTATTAGGGAGTTATTTGAGAGTTGAGCTGCTGTCCAGTTTGCACACTTTAATTTTGACCTACAGAATAAAAGCTTTAAAGCCTCTGATTTGGAGACACTAAGCCAACGTCTCTGACCTTTAGGCTCCTGCTGTAGCTCATTCAATGGACCTGGCAATAACAATAAAACCTGGATCGCTAAACATTTGTATATTATTATTAGCTCTTGGGATTGTGCCTGAGAGCGTTTACAGTCGCTCAGGAAAGAGGAGATAAATTAATGTCTTATCTCTATATCTTACTAACCCTTCAGAGTAAACTTCCACCTTCTCCCTGTGTTTGTGTCTGCAGGAGGACACGAGAGCTTCACTGGACAATATCATTGAACTTGAAAATAAGGACTTTTGGATGCACAGCAAGACTCCTGAGAAGGAGGACGACTTCCTCGACTCTCAGATTCACATGGACATCTGGACGGTATAAACTGTTTCACTGTTTCACTTGAAAGGGATTTTTCATAAAATATGTATAATGTATATTATATTTTATTATAAAAGCACCTTAAGAACCATCAAAGTCTGTGTTACTGTGATAAGACAGACTGTAAAAGACATAACAAATACTCTCCTATTGGAAGAAATGTACAACTTTATTTTGCAGAAAATTGTACTTTAAACACATAAAATATAAAATTATAATTTAAAAACTGTAATAATATAATATTATAAATAATAATAATTTAATTAAGAATTATAAAACAACAAGTATATGAAATATTTAAGTATCGATACATGTATGTGGCTTAATAGAATTGAGTTTTGTTTGTTTTCTGTGTTTTAAAAAAGAATATTATGATTTGTGTTTATTTTTGTGGTCGTTATTGTTTTGTTTTTTTTACTTTTGTCTCTTAAAAGACAAAAACTGATAATCTTACAACAATAATCTCCCACACTGTGATGCAATGCAGTGCTTTGACCATGTGGAGGCAGCAGAGAGCTTCGTAATAATCTCAAACTATTCTGTTTTGTTTTTCTCTCTGCAGAACGTGAAGGGCAGTATTGTTAACACACAAAAAATTGATGCTCAGCTGGAACAGAAAGTGGTGTCTTCCTGCCTCCAAGAGCTAAAAGAGTTCCCCAAGAGGTTCGTTAACACAGAGACACATATACTGAGTGAGCACATGTACAGTTAAAATACTGTGTGACAGTAATACTTAAAAGGCAAAGTTATCCAAAGCGTTTTAGAGAGGAATACTTTCACTTCATCTTCCCTTCAAGGGAAACTCATAAATTACATAAAATATACAAGAGTACAAGTGTTTCCCCTTTTTAATTGTTAAGCAGGACATAACTTAAATGTATTCGACTCATTTCCCTCTAAGAAACCTTGAGAGAATCTCTTGTGACTGAGCACAGGCCTTAAAGAGAGAGACAAAGATATAAACAGTTGGGTTTTTTCACAATGTGCTGCATATTTTTGGCTTTATTTTTAGTAGTTTGTTGTTGTACCGGTCTGAAACATCTCAGCAGTTATTGGATGGATAAACATTTACCAGACAGGCATTCATGGTCCTCAAAGGATGATTTAGTACACTTTGGTAATCCTCTAAGTGTTCATGTAGCGCCACCATCAGGTCAGAATTTCCATTAGTCCAATTCTGTCCGTTTATGTCAAATACCTACAAAACTAATCACATTCACACATGCTGTGTTTTGTGTTTAATCAGGGTGGGAACTACAGGGGAGCCGGGAGAGATTGGCTCCTATTAACTAGATGTTGTGTCTAAAATATTGAGAATATGCTGTTTTTATCATGTATTTCTATCTTTCTGTAACTTCACAATCATGGGTAATGTGTAGAATGAAGTTATTATTGGTGTATGATTCACTAATTCACTAAAGATACCGGCTGCATGCTGTTCTTGCCATCACCACTGAAGCGTAGCAGCGCAGAATCACAAACTTCCCTCACTTTCACAAAGATTAAAAAAACCCCAGTAGAAGTTGCTGTTGTCAGAATACTGTGAGTCAATTTTTGTAGTTTTTTGCACAATTAAACAGAATCACAAATAGAAGTGAAGAAGTGAATTGTGCACATTAGATTGAAAGAGGCTTGTGAAAGACAATATCCCCTCATTACAAGCAGAAAAACAAAAAACATGTTATCCATAAAAGTAAACAGCAAAAATACACAACGTCTTGGTTCAAGCCTGTATTTAAAATTCTTAAGTGATGAAGACTGAAGTGCAGTTTGGATATAACTCTTCCTCAGCTAAGCTTTACTAGATTAAATAGAGAATTGACAGAAACCAGTACAGGACGAGCAGTCATAAGGAAAAATGAGCTCCCCTGAAAGCCATTGTACAGTTTGCATGCTGTGTTTAATACTGATCATCACGTTGGCATGCTAGCCGGCTAACTTAACATGATTATATCACAGACTGAATAATTAAAAATGGACATATGTTTGTGGAGAGAACGTTGTAAAAGCTCAGTGTGGTCGTAGTAGTTTTTGCTATTTCCAGCCACGGAGGTTGCAGCTTTGATTATAGTTGCTAATAATAATAATTCTATTCTAATAATAATAATTTTATTTGTAAAGCACTTTTCAAGCTTAAGCACAAAGTGCTTTTCCAGGTTAAAGTGTATAAAGAACAAATCAGAACAATCAGAAACCCAAGAAGTCTCACAGAACTGAATCAGATGATTACATGTAGTGACACAGTGATGAACGTGGTGCTTTTTAGCCTCTTTTAGCTCATTGTTTTGTCTCAGTCATCAGTCTTAACCGAAACATAAAGAGTGAATGAAACACCCGATGAAAGTTTACCTTCAATCTCACATCCAAACTCTTTACAAGGCATATTTCCTCATTTGTTATAGATTTTTTTAGAATAAGAGAAGTACTTGAAAATGTGAACATTATTATGAATGAGGAGGTCAAATGGCAGCACTAGGCCAGAAGAATAAAGCATTCTGTAAAATCACACCCTTCAGGGAAAAAGTGCCACTTGGCTTATTTTATCAGTATAGATTTAAAAGAGGAAGGTAGAAGTTTGATGGGGAAACCTGCCCACAGAAAAACAAAGAAAAGAAAAAACGGGATCCTGCCCTCTGTGCAATAACCACACTGCTGTGTTATTTTCCTGTTGAGAAATGTTAGAATATTTCCTTTACCTGATTAATGACTAATACTGTTTTTAACTGAACCACGCAACCCCACTGTGGAAACAGTTATACATTCATTCTTTATCTTTAAAATAAGATAAGATTCAGTTCAATTGTTTCTTCTGGAAATGTTTTGTGTCTGCAGCAGCAAATGTAGCAGAAAAAACAGAAGCAGAACAATAAGAAATGGCATTAATACAGCAGAAACGTCATAAAACAGTAAAAAGGAAAAGAGAAGCAGTTAAATAATAAATGAAGAGGGAAATATGAAGAAAAGAACTGATGGCTGACATTTCTGTATTTATCTACTGTTACAGATGTTACTGATGACTGCTCACCTCAATGCAATTACATAGCATGGGATATTTGTTTATATATACTATAAGGCCAAAGGTTTGTGGACACTATGAACATTACACCAATATATGATTAAAGCTCCTGTAACAGCTCCGATTCCACTGATGTTGGGTGATCAGGTCACAGTCAGCTGGTGTTGGATGGGGTTGAGGTCAGGGCTCTTTGCAGGCCGATCAAGTTCTTCCTCATCAAACTGGGAGAATCATTTCTTTATGGAGCTGGTTTAGTGCACAAAGGCGCAAACAGATAAAGGTATTTCTTAAAGTGTTGAAGTTGGAAGACCGCTGTCGTCTCCAATATCAGTAAGATTTATCTTAAGGGCCCAAACTGTGAAAAACAGTGCATGTCCACATACTTTTGGCCATATAATGTGATTTGAAGGCTTTAATATGGAGCTTTTATCCTGAAAGCAAAACATGTAAGGTGTGTAAGGTTTGCCTCTTTTCCTCAGGTAGTCCCCTCTCTGCTACACTTGTCACACAGGTATCAGTACTAGACTTGCACTAACCATGTACAGCATATTAGCAGGAACTACAATTTTATATATTTAGTTAGTTTTGGTTCTGTTAAAATATATTATCTTCCTCTTTAAATGCGTTTTATGTTGTTTTCTATTTCTGTATTTTTATTTGGCTTTTGTCTCTGTACGTTTGAAGTGCTTTATAGATGAAGTTGACTTCATTACAAGTTTATGGACTTAAAGGGTAAATGTCATTTAAACAGGAAGTCTATTAAAAGTAGGAATTTGACTCCCTTTCAGTCATCTGTCAGGCTCAATCCGTCTCTCTCATCCTCTTTCTTCTGCAGGTTTGAGACGCAGTACAAACGCCACTGCAGCGCGCTCAGACAGCAGCCTCTTTGGACGGAGTATCACATAACATACATCAACAGCTTCACTGCCTTACAGTAAGTCACGAGACTTCCTGAAATTACCCACAACGCACCGCGATAAACTAACTTACCCTGCCAAAACCACAAATGAGGCAACCTGCCTGCCTGCTGCTTGCCTCCAGAAGAAAATCTGTCAACACGTTCACATAGTACAGTACAGTAGTAACAGTACAGTACATAGTGAAAAATACAATATTTTAAAACAAAGCATAACACTTTAAATACTGTAGAGCAAGATGCATGACATTAAATAATATAATAGTGTTATCGTATAAATAATAAAATAACATAATGCAAAAATTCTGGCAACTTATTGGCATTTTTTATTTGAAATTGAATTAACCCTCAGGTAACACATTGAGTATTTGGGAAATTTAGTAAAAAATTAGAAGTAGTGTCAACACAAAATATATATTAAATATGTCGCCTGGCTTTTTCCTGAAGTTTAAACTGCATCTCACTTGTCTTGTCTCCATGCCAACGGCTGAGGAAGAGGGTGAGATGTGGTTGAAAGCTCAGGAAAAAGATAATAACCACTTACTATCTTGATTTTTGGGCTTTTTCTGTTTTGGTCAAACCACTGTTTCCACTTTCAAGTGTTTTTATTGTGCTTTTATTTTGAAGCGTAACTATATTATGGTTTGATTTCTTTAAACCAGAAATTGTATTCTTGCTTCTGTATCTTGATAAACAAACTGCAGAAAACATTTAAAAAAGTGCACAAGTTCAGTGAGAGTTAGAAAGTAATGCAGAGCTTTTGTTTGGGTGATTCATCTCTGAGCTATTTAAGACTTCTCTGGGAGAGTCCCAGCACATGTGCTCACATAGTTCATCTCAGATTCAACTTGTAGCTTCAAGTCTTTCAGAAGATTGTTTTTCTTTAACATGCACAGCGGAAGCTCTTTTTATACCCACTTAAAATTAGATCACTGAGCTGAGAGGTTTAACAACCACTGTTCCAGCCTTGGAGAGAGCGCCGTCCCATGTGATTTCAGGGAATCGGGGCTGTGAGTGAGAAACGCTGCTGTGTAGGTCGGGGGGGAAAGAGAAACTACAGAGATTGCCAGCTGCCTAAACCCCAGCTGCTTGTGTCTGTGACAGAAAAAGCAGATGTGGGTTATGACGAGGCGTTCAGGGACATTCAGATGTGACGTGAATGCTGTGCGTTTATGGCTGCAGATTTGAGGTCTGCTTGCTGCTGTGTGGTTTTTAAAAGAAAACGAAGGTGAGTCTGTGGTTGAGTTAAGTTACAAACGCCAGCTACCATCACTTTATGACCTTTGACATTACTCCATCTCCATCCTCTGGGTCCATCTCCTTTAGTCTAGGCCATTTACAAAAAACTAAATGGAATTATGTGCAAGACTGAAATGTTGCATTTGCTGTAATGTTTATACATCAAATTTAATTATATTTAATCATGGGTAGTAGGTGGTGCTGTGGGGGCTGCAGCACCACCTATAATCTGGCATAATGAAACTGGGGTTTAAACACTGGTATTTATGGCATGATATTTTATCCACTAAAAAGTTATACAATGAGTGTAAACTGCTGCTATCAACTGTTAAATAAGCTATAAATCATCATCGCCATTTAAATTAATGCAAAAACCATCAACTTAATGCATTTATTTCAGTGGTATTTTCTCTCAGCACCCCCAACTCCCTGCATTCAACTATATTTAAATGATATTTAATTTGGCTCATGGCTTAGGGTTTGAATTGCCGACCAGGAACTGCAGTGTTCCTGGTTCAAATCTGACCTTGTTTCCTGACATCTCTCTCCACTACTGATATCAAATAAAGATAAGAGAGAGCTTAATTTATCCCGAGGGGAGCCGTTGTGCAGAAGTACAAAGTAGGAAAGGGGTGTGTGGACACGGTGGGCGGCCGAGAACAGTCCGCCGCTGTGTGCTCATGAAGCACTTCTGTGGTTTATCAGTGGAGTGTGTAGATTTTTTCCGACTGCAATCTTTCTGGCACCTAGGGGAAAAAGCATTTGCAGGATGTTGAAGGCATAAGTCGCTAGCTGGCAAAGGCTGTGGCTAGAAACGGAAATGACTTTGTAAACCTTGTAATAACTAATGAATTCAGGAGAAACGCAGATGCTAAAGTGTTGTACGTTTATGTACTGTTACAGGGTTAGGGGAAGGGTTATAGTAGGTATGGCTCCACTGAGAGAAATCTCTGAATTTCCTTTACACAGACTAGGGCAATGTCTGTATCCTCACTGCAATGCATCACTGTAACTATGATGAACTGGTGTGGGTCATATTTCTCATCAGGCGCTCCCCCAACTGTAACTTCCAGCATCTTCCAGCCTCAGGGGGCTCTGAGAGTCGGTCCTGGGGATGGAGACAGTGGACATTAATAATAAATTAATTAATAATTTCTGTAAATGTGCCAGCATTAGCCAAGACTATTTATCATCTGTAGTCCCTGGACAGTCATCCTAAAAATGGATTATAAGATAAATTCCAAAATCCAAAGTCAAATCATTTATAAGCGTGCAGCAATATAAAATAATAATATATTAATGGAAACACAAGCATCATTCATAAAACTTCAATAAACCAAATTCTGAATGTCACAAATGTAAACAGTGCCATTGTAAAGACCATAAGTCCAGCTGTTTCTTGGTGAGTTGCACATACATGTACGATATGTATGTGCATGGTATTGCACATTGTTGCATATTACATCCACGAGTCAGAAAAAATGATTGTAATTCAGAGAGAAAGAGAGTAAACAAACAGAGTGGTAAAGGAGGATGGAGTCACCCCGAAAAAAGGCAGAAATTTGAGGGAAAAACATTCAGAATATCGCAGGTAAAGAGTTTAAAGCGAAGTTGAAACATAATTCATTGTATTTAAAAGCAACCAGACATTTTGACCTTTTGGGGGTCTGACTCACTCCTTTTTTTATTTGTTAGTTTTTTGTTTTCTCTTTTCTGAACCTAAAGTCTTGCAGTGATTGTCAGGATATCATTTAGGTACGTCTGGATTATCACTGAGATCCTATCAGGCTTCCAGCTTTGCTTCTTAGGAACTCATTTCACAGACTTCCCTGGTAGTCAAGTGGTTTCAGGACGCACAACTTTAATGCCACTGGTTCACTTCCAGCTGGCATTCTGCTTTGTGCTCCCCCTTTTCTCCTCCATTTCCTGTCTGCCTTCTTTTCTCTCACTATCCAGTAAAGCCAAAGACACACAAGGCGGTCTTTGATTATTCAGAAACTGGGACACTGTCTCTGGAAAAACACATTTCTCTGGAGTCTCTAGGGATGGCATTCACTGAAATACTTCAGCAGCTACTGAACTGACATTCAGACATTCAGAGGGAGATTTCTAATGACACTGATGACCCCCTTTATCGAGCGCCACCATCAGGTTTAAAATTAAAGCACCTAATTTTGGTACAAAGCCCAAAGCTTCAGCCTGTGATGTTTTTCCATTTCCTGTTGTTGTTGTTCCTGTTTCCTCCTGTAGGCAGCACATGGAGGATTACCGGGATGCCTGTCCGGCTGAAGTGGAAGAATTCAGGAAAGAGGTGAAATGGCTGGTTGTCAGGCTGATGGAGGAACTGGAGGATCAGTACAAGGAGGATGTCAAGGTACAATTACAGTAAAGTAAACAAAGGTAGGCTCATTATAGGTTAAAGCTCAATTCCGGCTTTCGACGATGTATTTCCTCACTCAGAAAGAGGCCATTTTTTTGTTGTGGTTTTTAAAAAGAGGAAAAAAGAAAAAAGGGGAAGCTGCTCTCGTGAACCTCTATTCTAAAACACCAGGGATGCTTTCAAGCAAGGCACTTACCGTAAACGATCATAAAAAAGTGAGTGCAGGGATGTGAAAACAGGATGTAAGATGTAAGTGGTCCAATCTAAAAGACCAAATAGGTTATTTGTGACTTATTTGCAAAACAATCAGCAGGAGATTCATTTCTCGTTGCCTCCCGAAACCGTCACAAATGGCAGTTACAAAAATGATTCATGTGATGGTTTCCTGATTTGCCACCACTATGGTTAAGATTTACTTACCTTTTGGCACAAAAGGTACGTGGGTAGGTAAGGCAAAGCTTGTGGTTGTGGTTGAATAAAACCAACGTTTGCAGGAACTAGGATACAAACAGCGGTTTCTGAATCCAACGTTCCACGTTTTACCAAGATTGCACTTCTGAGAAATCAGAATTACAGGTGCAATAAATGAAGTGGCCCAGATTGACCTGCTGCAGGCCTAAATAACATCCAGGTCGCAGGTTTGAAAGATTGAGTAATACAGTAAATGCAGTAAAGTCGGCTAAACTCCTGTTTTACATAGACGTGTAAAATGGTTTCTACATCTCCTCCTCTACCTCGCTTTGTGATCAACTCATCAGCCGGCAGGGGAGACGCTCTGGGTTGCAATGAAACCCTGCTGTACTGTTGCCCTGTGTCTCAAAATTGCACCAAATTTGACGCTACACTTTGTTGAGTTTCCCAGAAAAAAAACCCCAAATGTGAAGTCGATCGGTTGTTGAGAAAAGCAAAGTACACACACATACAGAGACCACTCAGACAAAACCAAGCGCTTGCATAAAAGTGTTTAAGTTTTCATCTAAGTTGTCTTGGCCACATAGGCCACGCAATGTTAATCTATTTAATATGCTATAATGAATATATGTATTTATTTACTTATTTATTTCATATATTTCCCGTCATCTGCCGGAAAACTGCATGTGACGAAGGCCAAAAGGGCTGCAACTTACAATTCTATTTATCATTAATTCACATCCTGATTATGTTTCTGATTAATTGATTAATGATTTTATCTTCAAATTGCTGCCTTCAGTTACAGACAACGTCTTTTGTCATTTAATTTGGAGGACGTTAAAACAGAGCAGACAAAACCCCTGATGACCTCCCTCAAATGTAGTAAAAGCATTGAATAAACAGTGTTTTAAAATATATGTTTGAGGTTGTTCACTGTTTCCTTCCGGCTGCTCTCCAGGCGTACCTGAGGAGAATGATGACGAGGAAGTGGCTCACCGACGACGAAGACTTCAAACATCTTCAGAGCCGAACAGAGCTGCTTTCTGAGCACTGCTCCCTCCTGAGGCCTCCACACAACCAGGTGAGGAGGAGCCTAATTGGAGTGACAGGCGAGTGTTAAACATGCTGAATGAAATAGGTAAATTAAAGAGAAATTAATGCAGGGGCAGCTGCCCCCCCGCCTGCTTTTAACCTGATGGTTTGATCTCTGTCAGTCATCACACACAACTGGTTGCATCCACAGAGTTTAGTCACTGTATAGAGAGTGTGTGTGGCTGGGCAGCACAGGAGAAAGAGAGAATGAGAAGGTAGAGTTTACAGGGAGAGCAATAAAAGGTTGAAAGTGCAACCTAATGCTTTTAAATTATCTCCACAAACAAGGGACGATATCAGGGCCGTCCTCAGCACATCTTATCACCACTACCTTCCCTGGGGTGACTCTGCGTTTTTTTTTTTTTAACTCTGACTTAGTGCTGCTTGAGGAACAAGGGCCAAAAAATAAAAAAGGGAACCAGTGGGCACGAAGTCGTGATGCATTTATGGTGAAATATCTTAGTCAGGGTTAGGATTAACCCCATAGTGGGCACTTTATTATGTTTTATATATCATGGGGCCATCCAAAAGTGCATTTTGTGCTGTCCCCGACTCCAGTGGGCTACAGGGAAGCAGGAGATGAGTATTGATGTAAATAATCTGGAAAATAAAGATCTGTGTACTCTTTTCTGTCAAGTGAAAGTATCTCCAGTTACTCAGAGGTACCGGAAATTCATCCTGAAGTGCAAAGCAAACACCCCAAAAGTGCACAAAATCGATATATATGAATATAATAAGTATGGAAGTGAAATTGACTCTGAAGACTTTTGACTGTTTTTAACTATTTTTGACGTTTTTTAAAGTAAAAGTAAAAGATAGATCCATTATTGGCATAAACAGTACTTTCCCCATCAACGAAAATCAGGAAAAATAGAAAAAACAATAACAGTTTTCACAGTATATGTACGTGTTAAACAGCCAAAGATTCAAATATTTATTTACGGCCTTTATTTTGAAATCACAGGTTAATTATTTTCACAAACGAAATCACAAAGCTGGTTTTCTTGTGATAACAAATTACAAATCTTGATTCCACTGGAGAACAAAAGCTTGTTTTCTGGACATGATGAGATAATTTATCACGAGGAAACATCTTTTGTCACTGAAGTGCAGTTTAGCTGGGATAGACAACACTGGACAACTAGGTGCTGTTGGAACTAAACAAAACTGTCATCACAAACAAAGAATTATTTATTTACATTTATTAATCAGAGCAAATTAAAAAGCAAAGAAACAGCTGTTACCGTTTTGCAGGAACTAGGATACAAACAGCGGTTTCTGAATCCAACGTTCCACATTTTACCAAGATTGCACTTCTACACTGGGCTACAGGGAAGCAGGAGATGAGTATTGATGTAAATAATCTGGAAAATAAAGATCTGTGTACTCTTTTCTGTCAAGTGAAAGTATCTCCAGTTACTCAGAGGTACCGGAAATTCATCCTGAAGTGCAAAGCAAACACCCCAAAAGTGCACAAAATCGATATATATGAATATAATAAGTATGGAAGTGAAATTGACTCTGAAGACTTTTGACTGTTTTTAACTATTTTTGACGTTTTTTAAAGTAAAAGTAAAAGATAGATCCATTATTGGCATAAACAGTGACCTGAAAAAATATGTCAACAAAACGTTTAAAAAATATGTGGTCATTGTCATAGACTGACGTTTAAGTCCCACCTTGATTTATTATCCCAGTTCCCAGTAGGTCCAAAGATTTACTGGCAATCTGTACCGGATTAGAGATCCCACATGCTGTACCTGTAAATGTGATCAAGTTGTTTGGCAGTCATGCGCTTATGTGTTAATGAGGATAAAAGATGATGAATATGAGCTAGATATACATTTTGTGATAAGGATTGGAGGTCTGGAGAGGAAATCCTTTCATTGACTCTCTTGGAAGTTCCAGTGAATGAATTCAGGCACCATTGTTTTCAGGCCGGATGAAGTGAAATGGCTAAACTGGCAAAAGGCACAAAGGGTGGAAGTGGAGGTGTGAGTTCAGATGACCACTGGCTGCTGGTCGTGTGACAGACAGATATAGATATTTCCCCTTTTGTTTGGAGCCCGTCTTGTTACGTCACTCACTGTGTGTGTGTGTGTGTGTGTGTGTGTGTGTGTGTGTGTGTGTGTGTGTGTGTGTGTGTGTGTGTGTGTGTGTGTGTGTGTGTGTGTGTGTGTGTGTGTGTGTTTGTTTGTTTGTTTGTTTCATGGCAACAGGAGTTTGCAAGCCGACTGCACTACCACGTGGTGAAGGAATACGTCGGCCAGCTGATGAAGAATAATTACTCGTGCAAGAACCGGAAACACGAGAAGGCAGTGACAAAGATCCGTGAGCAGTGGAGTGAACTCAGAGATCTGTTTGAGGACATGGTAATGAACTTTGTACTTTCCCCATCAACAAAAATCAGGAAAAATAGAAAAAACAATAACAGTTTTCACAGTATATGTACGTGTTAAACAGCCAAAGATTGAAATATTTATTTATGGCCTTTATTTTGAGATCACAGGTTAATTATTTTCACAAACGAAATCACAAAGCTGGTTTTCTTGTGATAACAAATTACAAATCTTGATTCCACTGGAGAACAAAAGCTTGTTTTCTGGACATGATGAGATAATTTATCACGAGGAAACATCTTTTGTCACTGAAGTGCAGTTTAGCTGGGATAGACAACACTGGACAACTAGGTGCTGTTGGAACTAAACAAAACTGTCATCACAAACAAAGAATTATTTATTTACATTTATTAATCAGAGCAAATTAAAAAGCAAAGAAACAGCTGTTACCGTTTACATGTGAATGGTGAGTCATTTAAAGAGAAGACTAGTGCAACTTCACAGGCGACTGCACAGGTTTTCTCTCGATGAATTATCTCGAAGATATAATTACCACAAGAAAACAAGCCCTGTCATCCCGAGAGAACAGAATAATTAACTTGTGGTCTTGAGATAACGACATTAAAAAAATGATTGATACAGTCAACTTGAAACTATTTGGTGATCCAAACATGGAGGTGGTGGAAAGTAACAAAATATGTTTACTCAAGTACAGACTTTTTCCATTTAATGTTACTTTATTCTTCTACTCCACTGAAAAAACATGTTATACGCTTATAAAATACATTATTGTGTTAAATATTAAACCAGGGCCCCATGTCATCTTTCAGACGGCTGTGAGTTGTTTCATTTGAATTCATTAATTTATAATAATGCACTTATACTTGATACTTGCGTGATTTAGTATTTCATTTCCTCTAAGCTGGGGGAAATCACAACAAAATTAATCTGAGATCACTCTAACTTTTACTTCCTAGTTTGGGTCAAGCTCAAAAGTGCTGAATCCAACACACTTGTCCCAGTGACTAATAAACTGACCTTTATGTGTAAAATAAGGGGAGTTCTCCTTTAGGTGGGTGTATTAAGGATGGTTTTGATGTCATATACAAATATTTTTCATGATTTCGCTCCTCCTCTCTCTCTCCCTCTCTCTCTGATTGAGAAACAGTGTTCTGTTCCCAGATTATAAAGTCAATATTCAACAATATTCTTGCATTCTCACAGTTGAATAATCAAAGTATAAATGCCCAGGTGATCATAACAACACGTGTGTTTCTTCTGTGGTAGAATTCGACCCACGAGTGGCTGCATCATGTAGGAAACGACCTGAGCAACATCATCATTCAGAAGAACAAGTCAGACATAAAGAACCACCTGCAGCCGTTAGTGGAGCATTACCCGGACTTCAGGTGAGCCTTTCTGACTCACTCTTTAAAGGTCCAGTGTGTAACATTTAGGAGGATCTAACTGGGTATCATAGGTATGTTTTCATTAGTGTATAATCACCACCGTAGTTTCTCCCTCACATACATACAAATACAGACACCAGCGGTGTTCAGTCATTGTTAGATGCCACTAAATCCTACACACTGGACCTAAATCAATTTATATGTCAAACCTGGTTTACCAAAAAAAATCCCTGCACAAAGTCTGCACAAAGAAAATAAAATCCAAGAAAAGTGCATCAATATTTCCACTTATCCTGTGAAGTCAGGCAGATGTGGATTTAGCCTGGTTTTAGAAAAAGGATGAATTTCTACCAGATCAGTTGTTGACTGACTATTTCGCTGTTCGATGATCGGATGGATATGAGATATTTTGTTTCGGCTGTCTGCACTTTGAGCAGCTCCACAGTTCCAACATGACCGCTGTCAAAAGATCATAAACTGTAGTGAGGTTGTTTTGATATTATTGAAGTATTTTACATGGTGTGGCTAAAACTGTAGTGTTGAGACTGCTGTGATATCAAACTGAGCTTGATGTGGAACTCAGGGTCTCTGTGCAGTATGGAAGTAAATTTGTGTTTCCAGACTTACCCGTATTCTGTTTTCTAAGATATAAATCGATAATAAGCAGGAGTCAGAAGCCAGCGCCACAGCCTGAAAAACTGCTCTGCCTCAAGTAACTGAAACAAATCCAGACATCTGCGACTAAATTTGTTCAACAGAATTTTACTTTATTTTACTAGGAACTCATTGAGCTCAAAATACGACCTGGCCAATGAAGCAGCTGTACAAAATCACAAAATATTGTATATGATACAACATAATATACACAAAAATCCACAATAAACAAAAACTAGAACTATTCAAACACAATGGCCTCTCTTAAAAAACAACAACCACATTCTTTAAAAGCATTGGAGAAACATAGCTGGTAACTGAGCTAAGACAGAGATGCATCAATATCTTTTCATTTCATATAAATATATAAAATGTAACTTAAGGTAAAGTTAATGTGAAGATGTCAGGGTGAGTGTACATGATATTTCCACTGAGGTGGAAACAAGATTTGGGCAAATTGTACTAAACATCAGCTTTAATTATTACAGCATGTTGTATTGCGCCTTGCAGCTCAGAGCCAGCCAAAGGTCATACAGGTTGAAGTGAGGGATTTTCTGTCCACCGCTGGTCAGTTCCTCATAAACTACGCAGGTTTGTAAGAGTGAAACATACACGGAGGTTGTCAGAGTGCTGCGAGGTGTCTGTGTTGAAAAGCAACGGTTTTGCTGGCAGGCTTTGACACAAAAATAACATGAAGAAAAAAGCCCAGAGTGAAGACATTTTAACCAACATCCTGATTTTAATTTCTATCCGAAATACTTAGAAAGTGTCAAAGTTTCCCCTTCGTAATGGAGAAGCAGATGAAAGTTGTACAGAAAATCCCCCATATTTACCCAAATAAACCCAAATGGAAAATAATTAATTGAACCTGGAGAATGAGGAAGTGATGATGATGTAACAGCAAAAACAGGTGAAATCAAGTGTCACTGCACAGATTGATGATAAGCTAACATGCAACCTCTCTACTAACATTATTGAATATTTGCTAACTGGTATAAACAAGCAAAAAAAATTTGTAAATCAACTTCTATTCATTGTGAATTGTGCCAGCCTAACACGAGCCAGATTTGGCCCACGTGCCTTAAGATGAGTTTACATGAAATACGTACTGTATTAACCAGAGTTAATGGCTGTCAGATGATGTCGACCTCTGCTTTTACATCATCTGCTACAAACAGCTGACTGGCATTTACCCAAACTGTAGACATGTGAGTGGGTGACTGAACCAAACAGGCAAAATAAACTAAATGGTGAAGTGGCCATGGTGATAAGGAGGTGTGCTTTCCCTCCTGTGGTGGTTACGCATCACACAACATGAAAGGGGATTACCCTAATATAAATGCTACTTGTTCTACACAGTGCAGACAGTAATGATAAAATCTCAGCTTTCTAAGCATTTCCTCCATCAGAGTCTCATTCAGAGACACTGAACAATCTTCAACAGTGGAGAAGAAACAAAGTCTTCCCACCAGTTTCCTGCTCTGAAAGAAACATCTGAACTCTTCATCGTGGACAGCAAGATCAAACACTTTAGAAACACATTTCTCAAGTCAAGAACTAAAGAAATGATCCCTGAAAGTATGGTCTTGGTTTCTTCTGGATGTATCTCAGGGTCTCATGTCCAGAGACGAGCACTTTTACTGGTGACCTCCTGCGGTTCAGAGAGAAAACTCCTCCTACAATCACCATTGAGAGCTGTAGTCATTGTTGTGATGATATATTGTTTTTCTAAGAAGAGTATGAAGACACTGAACCCTGCAGCTGCACTAACTTAGGTAGATTTTATACCTCACTGCACCCAGTGAGACATCAGCTGCCAGACTTTAACCTGTGATGGTCACATTGGTGCACAGTGATCTGCACACTACCTTATTAAGACCACACTTCACACCAAAAACCACGTGTAGAGAGTCACTTTCCTTGTGGGCAACTCCAGTTTTGTGGTCCCATACAAAAATAACCTGGACTTGTATTTTAAGTTTTTACATCTTTCATACATCTTCTTCTGTTCTTCAGTTTCAGTTGACAGCTGAGGCCTTCATTCAGGAGCAGGAATATAATTTTCACATTTGCGGTCTCTAGTTTGAGGAATGTGCTGAATGTTGTCACACACAGGTCAAAGGTCAGCATGTTTACTGTGATTATTAAGATTCTTCAACATGGCAACATGATCTAATAAACAGTTAGACAAGAGGTACACAAGTTGCAGATTGCAACTCGCTCACTACACCCTCCCTGTCTAAGCGCAAGGGAGAAACTACAGTGGCTGTGAGACACGTGAATAACCCTATCTAGAGTGAATGTTTGGGTTGTCCATTTGGGGCAACTGTAGATGCTAGGTTCCACAGTATTCAAACCATGGCATCTGTAGATAAACACGGTTTTTCCTAGGTAACGAAAACACAAAAACGATTATCTTCAGGTGATTATACACTAATGAAAACATAGCTGTGAATATTATATTCCATTTCTGACAACAGATTTGCCTCAATGTTACCCCACAGCCTTTTAATCAGGATTAGCACTCAGAACACTCATTAGAAGTTTAAAAGAGATTGTAATCTTTAAGCAAAATAAAGAAGTCCACTCAGATCATGTTTCCTCCATCAGAGTCTCATTCAGAAACACTGAACAATCTTCAACAGTGGAGAAGAAACAGAGTCTTCCCACCAGTTTCCTGCTCTGAAAGAAACATCTGATCTCTTCATCGTGGGCAGCGAGACCAAACTCCTTAGAAACACATTTCTCAAGTCAAGAACTAAAGAAATGATCCCTGAAAGTATAGTCTTGGTTTGTTCTAGATGTTTCTCAGCGTCTTATGTCTGGAGACGAGCACCTTTACTCCTGGTGACCTCCTGTGGTTCAGAGAGACACTCCTCCTGCAATCACAGCATCATCACTGACATACAGGCCTCTTCTTTGTAGCTGAGCAAATCCAACAGGAGCTCTGACACTTTCTTAGTTGTCAGGTTTGAAAATGTGCCAAACAATAGTTGGATGAACACACTTACTGTTATCTTTGTCTGACACAGGTTAATTTTTTACACTTGTAACTTTTTGGTGGTTTTGTGACTCCAAATTAACCTTCTTGCACCAAGTGAGCCGTTCAGCTGAGGTTGAGTTTCTGGTACTTGTTTTCACATAAAATTGCACCTTAATTTCCCAATCTACTAACACCAGTTTTAAGGTTTTGGTTTGAATGAAACCTTGAATGCTCTTGGACCTACATGGCAAAGGACTGTCTGCTTTAAAGCCCCATGCAAACCCACAGGGTACCTGCGCAGGTGTTTTCATTTATATGGCCTGATGAGATGTTTTCTCAGGAGCGTGTGGGCCATAGATCTCTTTCTTCTTCACTCTATTTACAGCTGATTTTGGTTTGGTTTGTCAAACAGGTTTCTGGACACCTTCAATCTTCCTAATCATTTTAGACATAAGAGTTCAGCAACAAATTTTATTTTGTTTACAAGCTTAATAGAAAGATAGACAGCATTTGATTTTAGCACACTACAAGTGGGCCACTCAAAGTCTTTCCACCAGTTTTCTGCTCTGAAGGAAACATCTGAACTCTTCATCGTGGGCAGCAAGACCAAACTCCTTAGAAACACATTTCTCCAGTCAAGAACTAATGAAATGATCCCTGAAAGTATAGTCTTGGTTTGTTCTGGATGTTTCTCAGCGTCTTATGTCACGAGACGAGGACTTTTACTCCTGGTGACCTCCTGTGGTTCAGAATGAAAACTCCTCCTACAATCACAGCATCATCACTGACAGACAGGCCTCTTTCTTACTCGCCAGGTTCAGAGAGAAAACTCCTCCTACAATCACCACTGAGAGATGTAGTTATTGTTGTGATGAGATATTGTTTTTCTAAGAAGAGAGTGTGAATACACTGTGAACCTTGCAGCTACACTAACCCAGTGAGACAACAGCTGCCAGAGACTTTAACCAGTAAATGCCCTGTGATGGACAGAAAGGATGAAAAAGGTTTCATGTAACCAAATCCTTCTTAATTATTGTATTTTTGGGAGTTCCTCCATTACATTAAACTGAAATACAGGCTGTTTGAGGGGCAGGGGTGGCAAAATTTAAAGGGCATGAGTGTGCAGGACCTTGTGATGCATTTATCATGAAACAGCTGATTCACTGTTAGAATTAGCACCATAGAGGGCACATTATAATGTTTTGTCCACTGGAAGGCTCTTTATTCTATTTTATTTACCAGAGGGGTATTATAGATGATACTCTTGATTGATGGATCTGGAAAACTCATTGAACTTTGTGAGCTGCCCCCTCGAGAGCTGGGGAAACAAGTCACCAACAATGGTCCCTCCACACTGCGGGTC